TCAACGGGTAGAGGCCAGACGAAGCTCAGTCTCAAAAGACCAGCTACTTGGGCACCTCCTGGTCTCCTTCTATTCACACCCGCCCTTGGAGAGGTCACTCCAGCAAATAAACACGGTGAGGGGCAGTTTACCGGTCAAAAAACCGCGCTAGATGGACGTAGGAGCGAGGTACCTGGGGCATCCTCTCGACGGCGAGAGAAGTCTTCGCACTTCATTGGACAGCTACCACCCGCCCAAGATGGGCAGCCCCCAGCCAATAAGGTGCCGTCCCGTCCACGTTCCGCTTGTCTCATTGGGTGCATACGGCTAAGAGCCGATCCCGAAAAGCGGACCGATAATCAACGCACCAGCGAACAACACACTAAACCGAAAACCGAAGGCCTTGCGTGACAGGTCTCTAGAAGCTCCCACACGGGTGTTTCGTTCAGGCTCCCGCGTTGGATTTACGCCCCACTGCCTTGTGAGTCAGACTTTTGAGTCAAAGGCTCCGGTTAGGGTTCCCAAAGAAAAACCTACAAATTCCCGCTAACTTGCGGGTCAGACTTTTGAGTCAAAGGCTATGGTTAGGGTTCCCAAAGAAAAACCCTTCGTCGGTGTGAGCTACCGCGAAGTATATCGTTCCCTAAAGTCCTAGGTACCCACTTGGAAGACCCTCTTTCCCATTTGTCTAGTTCTTCCTCTCAATCCTGAATAATACCCGACACCTGCTGTTTACAAGACCCAGCGTTTTACCAACATGTCCAAACAATCAGGATTTACAGATTTTTTGAAGCCGAAATTCCCTTTTCATTTAGCCACGTTCAATGTCGGTCAACAAGCTGCATTAGCTAGAACCCTCGAAACTTTCAATTTAGATGTATGTTGTGTTTCCGAAACATGCATACAAGACCCTAATTCCATTATCTCTCTGCGTTCTCCTGGTCCAACCTCAACCTCAAGCTTCACCCTCCGTGTGTCAGGCGATTCGGCATCCGAAGCTCGCGGTGTTGTTGGTGTCGGGATTGCGATAGGTGCCAAGGCTGAACGCTCGCTGCTTGATTGGATTCCAGTGAGTAGTCGACTGTTCGCTGTACGCCTCAACGGTTCAGCGCGGGTCAACAGCTGCAGAACGAAGCGTCGATGTCTGTTCGTTGTATCGATGTATGCACCGACCGATTGCAGTACACCTGAAATTAATGATGAATTCTATAAGGACCTTTCTCGATTACTCCAAAGTATTCGATCAACAAATATCGTGGTAATCGCCGGAGACTTCAATGCCCAAGTGGGTTCCAGTGGGAATCAGAGAGGCTTCTTGGTGGACCACACGCAATCCCAGCCAACCGGACGGACAACGGTGATCGCCTACTGTGTCGACCAAGGACTGTTCCTGTCAAGCACGAACTTCTCGCAGAAGAAACGTCCCCGTCTTACATGGAAACCGCCAACCTCTTCACAGTGCTGGACCAAAATCGACCACATCGCTATCAGTTACCGCAGGAGGGGATCGATTCACGACTGCCGCTCTTACTGGCCAACACCTGTTGATACGGACAACGCTTTGCTACGAGCCAAATTCTCCTTACGCCTGGCAAACAACCGTAAAAAAGCCACCGAAAACGGATACCTACGATACAACGTCAGTTGCAAATCGGCCTTCGAAGCGGAACTCTCCGAACGCCTGTCAGTTTAACCGCCAGCCGAAGGACTTAATGAACACCGGAAACAAATCACGGAAGCTATGCAAATATCAATAAAAACAAAGTCAGATCCTCACGCAGGCTCAACCGGGGAGCATAACAAGACTTACAAGACCCAGTCAGTTTAGAATGAACTCAGTTTACTGTTCATCCTGTAAGTACGGTACAATCTCTCTCTCTCATTTACGGAGATCTTTTGTTAGGAACATATAATGTGACTGAAAAAACGTTTTTTTTTCAACTTTTTAGATTCCATTTGTGATTTTTAATCGTAGTATGGATTGTTGGAATAGGTACTTACTCCTACTCCACAGCTAGGTCTAATTTGCTTTTGATCTTCTCGTCATTCTCAGAGTTCAGTAACAATATGAGTTCGTTTATCTTTGAGCACTTTCTCTTTCATTTTCTTTCATTCATTCAAAACATACACGATGGATCTCATCGACCTCGGATGCCCTGCTGGACACCCGCAGAACCCTTCCGATGCGACATACGACACAGCGCGCAAATCCCTCAAACGCCAGCTCATCAAGAGTTTGAGGTATGACCGCGAGAAGTGGTGGATAGGAAAGTGCAGAGAGATGGAGGAGGCTGCGGCTATTGGTAATAGTCGCAATCTTTTCCGTTTAATTAGGAATAAGGGTCTTAGGAAAATAAGCGTAAATGAGGTAATTAGGGATTCCGATGGCACGCTGATTCACGATCAGCAGCTCCGTCTTGATCGATGAGCTGAACATTTCAAGGCTCAGTTCAACTGGCCCCCATTGAAATCTAAACTGTCACTCTCCACTGCGACTGCGCAAATTCTGCTAATCGATGCCGGTCCTCCATCTGAAATGGAGGTTTCCCGGAAAACAAGCTATCTCAAAAAGCATAAGGCTTCAGGCCTAGATGGGCTCTTCCCATCCGTGTTAAAGGATGGAGGCTTAACATTGGTTTCCGAGTTAACGAAACTCCTGGGCTCATTGTGGGAGAGGGAACAGGTTCCAGCTGAATGGTGTGAATCGGTCATCATA